TGATAAGCTGGTTCCTAATAGCAAATCCAACACCATTTGATCCTGGGCTCATCAGAAACTTTTCCTTTCCAGAAGAAAGTGTAGTCACCATTCTCCTCTTTTAGTTGTCCTTTGTCTGCTGGTTTCAGAAAGGACGGCTAGGTCAATCCGGTATTTTCTTAGCAATGATTGCAGTTCTCCTCTACAGGCTATCTCTGGTTGCACTATCCATCAATGTGCGCACATTCCATGCTCCAAAGTTCATAATTCTGTGTTTCTGACTGCGGTGATCCCTCTGGACGTGGTAATCCAGTCAGGAAGTTTGAAGCAGGCTATTTTTAGGGCACCTTTTCGAGCCCCTTCCCCATGTGGGGTGAGCAGAGTGTATCCTCTAGAGGGTTGCTCAGTTGTGGGTGGAGCTGTGGTTGCAGCGCCATTGACAAAACAGATTTGGCAAACTCTCCAGTGCATATTTGCGTTTGCAATCTGGAGAATGTCAAATGTTTCGTACTTCTAATCTGTGTCAATAATCACATGTTGTCTGAGTAAGTACTAAATTTTTATTTACTTTGCCACCTTTAAAAAAGTATGTAATATAGGCTAATGTAGTATGAATATGGGTAGTATGAATGAAATTGGAACGTACTACGGGCCCTATTTTAACGATCTGAAACGCAAGTATCAAACACGAAACGCCAGTAACTTTGTGGGCGGATCTTGGGCGCTGTTGCTATTATACCGGCGAGATAAATTACTAAAAATTACTAAATTACGCAAATCTAAAATTGGTTGGTCTGAAGTAGCTACATTACTCATAGGTGTGGTTTGTACGGTGGCCGAGAGAGCTCAACGCGCTGCAACTGAAGAAAACGCATGCAAAAAAAAACAAAAAAAACATGCAAATAAAATAAAACGCATGCAAATAGAAAAAAAACGCATGCAAATAGAAAAAAATGCGTGCAAATAAAAAAAACACCTGCAAATTAAGAAAACATCTTCATCAGTTTCACAACACACGTGTGCTCCAAATACTCACAACACCACCAAATACATAAACGCGCTGCAAATAACACAGAGCACAACGGAAACGTTTCCAGGGGAACCAAATAAGTGACGAACCCGGCTGGGACGTGCCGGCATAGATATCCATAAATCTATGCGTGCTGGTGCTTACAGCTTAAAATTATACTTTATTTATTTGTTTATTTATTTATTTGTTTGTGCAAAACATACAGAGATTACATTTTTTATGACATACAACTTGTATACAATGTACAAAATGTATTAACAATATGTTCAATGTCATCAGAATACAAATGAGAAAAGAACAATGAGCTGGAGACTAAAATAAATAAATAAAAAAGATAAAGAAGAAAAACATGAAGGAAAGATATTTATCTATACATCAGTTACACTGTACAAATTGTTTCATGTTATTACATTTTCATAAAGAAAAGTTTCGTAAGAAATGTTAGGTAATGTAGGGTCAAAATTTTTAAAGTTGAGACACAGATATATAACGCATATTTTAAAAGCTTTTTTTGTAAACTAAATATAAAAATGTATTTGCATCCGTTATGTTAACAGCATCATATTTCTGTCGTAAGACCAGCTGATGGACACCGTGCTGCGTTGTCATGGGAACATCCCACGTTGTCTTTAGTTGCTCCCTTCATCAAGTGCGTTCCACACGGCTGCCTAACAGCACACTAGAGCCTTGCTCACTCCAAAAGGGCTCTGCAATCTGCCCTTCGAAGGTAGTATGGCATAGGGAAGCTCACGAGCAATAAGCACGTCTCAGCCGGGTTCGTCACTTATTTGGTTCCCCTGGAAACATTTCCGTTGTGGTCTGTGTTCTTTGCAGCGCGTTTTCTGTATTTGGTTGTGTTGTGAACTTTTGCAGCGCGTTTCCTTATTTGGAGCACACGTGTGTTGTGAAACTGATGAAGATGTTTTTTTTTTATTTGCTGGTATTTTTTTCTATTTGCACACGTGTTTTTCTATTTGCATGTGTTTTTTTCTATTTGCACGCGTTTTTCTCTATTTGCATGTGTTTGCTTCAGTTGCAGCGCGTTGAGCTGTCTCGGCCACCGTAGGTTTGGGTGCAATGTGCAATAAATCAATCAGAGCGTCATCTCACATTCCCTTTAAAAGCAGGCGCGCTTGTTCCATGGCGGATTGCTATTATAATGGCGGATTTGCCAGGCGCACGCCAGGAGCGGTTCACATCCAAGGAGACCAACGTTCTTGTCAGGGCCGTAAAAGACAGAGAAGTGACATTGTATGGGGATGGGAGAAACCCACCCAAATTAGCTTCGGTTAAACAGGCGTATAATAATTTGGGTAAATGTGTAAGCTAGATTTATGCCTATTTTTTCATATCTTCATGGACACCACAATTATTTCCCTCGTGTGGTAATATTTTTCCTTGTAATTATGTATGGTTTGCAAAAATGGGAACTGCTGCATCTGTGTAGGTGAGAGAAGCAAAGTGTATGCGCATTGTGCACACGCTAAATTATGGCCAAGCATGCACCCTTAAAATAGCATCTGAATAGACTAGGTTTTTCCTGGTCTGTGGCGAATTGTTTTCTGAAACTGCAAAATATCATATGGGAACGTTTGTGCCAGAATACGCCTCCTCTTTTCGCTGAACTGCCCCCGGGAGCGCAAGTTCATTCCCTAATTTACCATTGTGCTTCTGTGGAGGGAAAAGTCCACTATGCGTTGGGTGCAAAATAGGAATGATACATGCGTCGGTGTACAAAGTCAATTGCGCTGGGTGCAAGATAGGGCCCTACATCTGCCATGTTGTTATGGTCATGTGACCTACTTCAGCTTCAGTTGTGTTGCTTCCCTGCCATTCATAAATTCCCTCCTGTGGCCTCATGGGATAGAAAGTGTCCTGCAGAATCTCGGCGGAAGTAGTATGTCATCTGGGGACTTTTTGCCTTCTGTTTTTCTAATATGCATTGATTATAACAAATTTTTGAGATTGCGATGAACTGAGATGAGTAAGAGAGAATTTTTTGTGATTATAAGGGAGTGATTTCTAGACTATATAATTCGTAAAAAAAAATAGTTTTTCATACTGCTAAGAGGGCCAACAGCCAATTACACGCTACAAAGTTTTGGAAGTGACAACCACATATAAATGTGGGATTCACTCTCGAAATTGCAATGATTGACACACAGCATGGGACAAAAATGTGTTTAAAAAAAGAGATAAGAAAACCTATACGCATTAAGAGCACTAATTTCAGAAGCATCCTCAGTGATTTGATTCTGGAACCTTTATTTGATTTGATTCTAGATTCTAGAATATATTAATAAGTAAATATGGCTAAATGCAAACACATAATTGTGGAAATGTTACCTGTGTATCTCCCACTTGCCCCTGCCTCTATATCTATTTATAATCCTTCTCCACTACATACTTAATTGTGATAATGTAATGCTGAATTCAGTATGTCCAGGCAGCAAATGTCACACACTGATGTTACTCCCACTTAGGATTGCCCGGTTGTATTTTTTTTCCATAAAGGATTAAAGATGGTGTCAAATTGTAATGTTTTAGACTTTTTTTTTATGTTTTAATGTTTTAGTCCATCAATAGCCTATTTGGCCCATGATCAACCTTCTGTATTCAAAAAATGTTTTCATAGCAAATTTTAAATATCTGACCGTCAAGATGAAAGAGGAGTTGTTTACTTTGGCCGCCATTCCTTTGGGTGCATTGTCCTTGCTCAAGTGACCGTGACTTTCCCATCATCATTTCCCATCTTAAAAATTCAAATTCCATGGACGGAATGCTGGAATTAAAGAATCTGTCTTCTCCACTGACTGCTGCCAAGTTAGCTCTACTAATTAACATGCCTTCTGATGGGCACGATCCAAATACCTGATGCTTTCTAATCATTTCCCGGTTGCAATTTACCATGGGAAATATGCGTCTTCAATCTATTAGGGTCATTTATGGAAACTCCAATTAGATCTGACTTTGACAATGTGAAAATACAATAGTTAAATATAACAATTTCTTAATTTTATAAAGCAAACAGGACTGGTTTTAAATGTTTCACAGTGGCTCTGTTCAAAAGATATGGTAAGATTTTCTTTTTTTCTTGAAAGAAATTAATACTTATATTTAGCATTAAACTGATCAAAAAAAGTGACAGTAAAGATTTTTACATTGTTCAAATAAATGTTCTTTTAAACTTTCTCCATCAAATAATCCTGAAAAAAATATGTATCTCGGTTACCACAGGATATTAAGAAGCACAAAAATGTTCAATTGTGATAATAAGAAAGATTTCATGAGCACCAATTAGAATGATTTCTGAAGGTTCATGTGACACTGTTTTACTGTATTTTTGATCCAATAAACACTTGGTGAGCATAACATTTCAAAAACATAAAAAAATCTTACCAACCCCAAACAATCCAAAATAAGTAAGAAGTGTTGGTTACACTTTATTTTTAATGTGTTCCTGTTACAGTGCAATTACACATTTAAGTACTGAGTATCATTATTTAACTTTGAGAAAATGTTCCTCTGCTTGGAGTCGGGGTCCTGATCAGCCGGTCGGGGTTGTATTCGCTATAACAACCGCTTCGCTCTACATTATCCCTTACATAGGCTATACTTACTATATATAGGGTTAGGATGATGGTTTTGTTTAGAGGTAGTTGCATGTAATTATGCCTAATTTATATTAATTACTATAGTAAATACATGTAACGTGTAACAAGGACACATTAAAATAAAGTGTTACCGAAGTGTTTAAAAACAAATGGCCAAGCACATGCAGATGTTAACAGTAAACCTCACAACGTGCATTACACGAGAATATTAAATATTCAATTGCATCCCATGCGAAAATGCTGATGCAGCATGTTTGCCATTGCCATGTGTTCCTCTGCAGCTGGGATGGCATTTGTCACTCCATCAAAAGAATAAGCTGCTTGTGTAATGACTTCCTCTCTAACTAATATGTGTGTGTGCGCGCGCGCGCGCGCATTCTTTTCGAGTGGGGATTTGCTGGTCGGGCGCATGCCTCCCTCTGCCTGGCTCCTTATAGTGCCTGGCGGGAGGCAGGAATTCTGACCGAGTGGTACGGACATCGCCGCCAGAGACCACAAACACGGAGCTCTCCCTTTAAACAAGGTCTCATGATCGACAACTCTTTCAATCAGTTGTCCTGGCGTGGAGGATCAGGGCGATCGCACGTCTTCCTTCACTTATAGAGCAAAGCGCGTGAGTGACAGTGACAGTGGAACTGAACATCAGCATCTGACACTCAAAGAATCCACAGACGACGAGCAAGAGTAAGAAGTTTTATTAAATATTTTAGTTCAGTTATATACTTTACTTTTAATTAAATATATTTTGATAAATCAATCTATTTAAATGTAATAAAGATTTCTGTTCAGATGTTTAATTGAACTATTTCTGTATTGTGGTTGACGCTTTGCAATTTTGAGTTTTAATGTATATGAATGCTCTTGACTTAAAGGGACTTAAAGTTAAAGTTCACCCAAATATGCCAATTTCCATCATTTACTCACCCTCATTTGGGTGAGTAAGTTGAAATGACATTTACTCACCCAACTTCCAAACCTGACATCAGATAAAGATATTTTGAGAAATGTCTCAGTATCTTTTTTTCCATAAAATGGAAATCTCACCAAAACCAACATTCTTCAAAATATCTTCTTTTGTGTTCTGCAGAAGAAAGTCATGTTTTGGAATGGCATGAGGGTGAGTAAAATATGGCAGAATGTAAGATTAACCAAACTCCTACTGAGAAGTGGGTGATAGTAGAAATGTATTTTTCATTAATCAGTCATCATCATAAAAAAAAAACACTTGAAAAATCATTGAACAGCTCTTTCAGCTAACAACCAGACTGAAATATACCAAATTATTTCAACAAATTATACATTTTGCTGTTTGGTAACTTGTTTGTTTTTTTAATGCATGTGGCAATATCTATTTTAACTGGTTTTATGCTCACAGATATGATTTGCTTCTGAATCAAGGTTTACAACAATGTATACATTTATATAAAATAGATTTGTAACTTTGTCCAGTATAGGCCTATGTTACAGAATACATGATTGTATTCTTTGGATGTCCTGTAAAATGCCTTCACTGTAAAAAAAAAAAAAAAAAAGATCAATACGTTATAAGAATATGTTTTTACATTATTTTAACTCAAAATGAATTAAACAATTAAAAAATATATAGAAGTTATGCAAGATTCAACTAAATTTTTTTAAAGTTTAATGCAATTTAAGTTGAAATGACTTAAACATCCAAGTTGATTGTACTTAAAAATGTAAGGCTTTTTTTGTACAGTGTTCCTGTTGGTTTTATGTTTGCAGATTTTGACCTGTTGATCATGCATCAGCTGTCTGTGATTTCCCTGTTGGCCTGTCTGTGGCTGGTGAAGCGCTGCCATGGCAACAGTAGTTTGGGCAACAGCCTCAATGATCTACACACTCAGTTTGGTGTCAGCCTCTACCAAACGCTCACAGAGATAGAGAACAACTCCAACCTGATCGTGTCTCCAGCCAGCGTCTCATTGTGTTTGGGACTTCTGCAACTAGGTGCCAGGGGCAACACTTTAGCACAGCTTGAGGGAACTCTGGGATATGATGTCAATGGTAAGAGTAAACTATAGCAACACACTTGTAATTAACAGCTAGTGCAAAATCTAAATCAGCAATGCCTGACAACCTGCCTACCTTTGTCCAATACTTGAAGAGGAAACATATGATGAAACAATGGTCTTCTTGTAGATGCTCGTGTACAGGACATTTTGTCTCGGCCACAAGGAGACCTGGGTAATTCCAGTGATGGGGTGCGCCTTCAGCTTGCCAATGCCTTATTTGTCCAGAGTGGTGTGAAACTCCTGCCAGAATTTACCCAGCATGCCTTGGGATGGGGTAATAGTAGTCTACTGAGTGTAAACTTCAGTAATCCCAACTACACTCATAGTCGGCTACAGCAATGGGCACGTTACCAGAGTAAAGGTGAGTGCCGTGACCCTAAAACCACTAGGATCATCATGATTTATATTTAAAATGTCTTTAAGTGATGAATAAGGCATATAAAAAGATTTAGGATCTTTGTATATGAATTAATATATATATATATATATATATATATATATATATATATATATATTGTTAATTATATAGTTATGTAAATATATTATGCAAAATTAAATACTGATTTGAATTTAAATACAATTATGACTTAAAAATATATAAATTATGTAAAATTAAATTTTGATTTGAATTTAAATATAAGTATATATAAAAATATAAATTAGCAAATATTTGTTATGTAAACGTAAATATCGATTAGTTTAAATATAAGTATGAATTAGAAAATATAATTATGCTATATAGTATGTAAAATTCGATTTTGATTAGAACTGAAATATAATTATGATTTTAAAATATAATAATGTAGAAATAAATTATCTCAAATTACATACTGATTTGAATTTAAATATACGTATGAATTAATGTAAATGTATTTGATGTAAAAGTAAATATTGATTTGAATTTAAATGATTACATTTTCAATAATAATTAATTATGACTTTAAAAATATAATTATGTAAATATATTTGATGTGAAATTAAATATTTATTTGAATTTAAATGATTAATTATCATGAATCATTAAATTGACTTTCTAATATAATTATGTAAATGTATATTATGTACAACTAAATATTGATTTCCATTTCAATAGTTTTATTACACATGACACAAGTATAGTTTTTTAAATGATGTAATTATTATGATTTCTAAAGCGGATGACCATCTCCAGACAAGAGCGGAGCAGCTTGGGTCCGGTGAGGCCCAGGAAGAGGCCTCCGGGAGAGACAGTTTGCTGCACATTGCTCTTCTGAGCACGGTGGTGTTCCATGGTGCCTGGCAGAAACAATTTCTCTTCACTGAGACTCAGAACTTGCCCTTCACCCTCTCAGACGGCAGCACAGTCAAAGTGCCCATGATGTACCAGTCAACCGAAGTCAATTTTGGTAAGGGAAGGAACAAAACAAACACCAGTTAGATGGAAGCCTATCAGAATTATATTGGAGGTTTTACCTGTTCACCTGTCTCAGGGCATTTCCGACTGCCTTCAGAGCAGGAATACACTGTGCTGGAGCTGCCATACCTGGATCGCTCCCTCAGGCTTCTGGTGGCGTTACCTGGTGACCGGAAAACCCCTCTGTCACAGCTGGAAAAGCAGCTCACGGCCCGTGCTGTGGGACTGTGGGATACTGGATTAAGGCGCACTAAGATGGATATATTTCTGCCCAGGTAACGTTAAAAAATATTTGATGCAGTTGGGATTCAAAGTGAATAATATTATTTATATCCAGGTCTTGTGTGTATTTCAGGTTTAAGATGCAGAGCAGGTTCAATCTGAAGCCTGTTCTTCAATCTCTCGGTATCTCTGATGTCTTCAGTCCCTCAGCTGCTGATTTTAGAGGCATCTCAGGTAGGAAAGTGGGACTGAAAACAGTTTAAACCCATCACAGATGCTGAGAATATCACAGATATCTTCAGTTGAAATCAGTGATTGCAAGTTTTTCTCACTCTGTGAAGATTAAACCTGTTTAATATGTCTACAGATGGGGAAGGGCTTTTTGTATCAGAGGCTTTCCATGAGGCAAGAATAGAGGTGACAGAGGAAGGGACAAAAGCAGCTTCAGCAACTGGTATGTGATATTTTGCTTGCTGAAAAGGATTAGTAGGGAATTAAAAATAATATAAATGTTTAGGAATACCTCTAGATATCAAGTACTGTCTGTTTAATGTTAATTAAGACTGATCCGATCCTACGTTGACATGCCAGCATCATATTATAGAATTGGAAACATTGCGGTTTTTAATAGAAGTCATGTTACACCTGGAAAGTCACGATAAAGTGGAAGTAGTGTCAGATCTTTTCTTCTGTATTGTGACGTACATCCAAGAGTAACGGATTTTTGGGTGAAAAAATGTATGACAGGGACTTGCTTCTATGGTTTTACTGCACTAAATATTTAGAGAAGTCTTGCATACGTCACCAGAGAGAAGTCATTTGTTTCCCCTGAAGATTGAGTTAAGGCATTTTGATGAAAAATTCCAAAGTCCAAATTTAAATAAAAAAAGAAACATACACCGTGAGATCATACACAATGAGATCAATGACATGCATTTAGAAAATAGGGTGAATTTTCCCTTAAGATGTAATGTCTGTTTTACAGTGGGTACTCAACCAGAATAATACTTTTACCGCCGCCGCTCCCGCGGCGGTAAAATTCGGGTGTGTATTTGCTGCCTTTTACCGCTAAGAGGCGCTACAATCACAGACTGTGAAAAGTGTCAGTTTATTCTCTCTATTGCGTAATCGCCGCAGTGCCGCGGCTCATTCAGAGCAATTGAAAGCTCGTAAGTAACAGATGAATTCAAGTGAAACATTGTTTAAACGAATTCATAATCACACTACTGAAATTAAATTGAATAAATAGTGAAAACCTTTCAACATAAAACATTGCAACAGAAAAACATATTAGGCTATACCTGAGGGTTTGGAATAGCACAAGACAAAATTTAGTAGCTTTCAGACGGTAGCTCAGTGGTTAACGCAACAACATAAACCTCACGGAGCTTTAAGTGATCCGAGATCGAATCTCACTACAGCGTATGCTGTTGGCCGACTTCGTTTATGTGTTACCGTTCTTAATGCTTACACATGGATAATTGTTTATTAGTGAGTTCATTAACTGTTTATTTATTTAAAGTCAAGCGTTTTTGTTTAATATTATTAATGGCACACTACAACATGAATTTGCTACATTTGCTACATGTATATACTCAACAAAGCTACTCCCTGGGGTGAGTGTGTGTACCTGCTTGAGAATCAGTTGTAGTCAACAGATGGGATATAGTTGAACAGTCTGATCAAGCTGTGAATCCACTGGGAAATAATGACAGAACTTTCTTTCTGCATCTTTCTTTTTAGCGATGGTGCTACTGAAAAGATCCCGTTCAGCAGTTTTTAAAGCAGATCGACCATTTCTCTTTATCTTGCGACAGATCAATACAGGTAAATACTAGAAACTGTAATTAGTATTCATGGCATTTTTTTCATATTCTATAAACAATACAGTAAAAGCAGTAATATTGTGGAAATATTATAATTTAAAATACATTTCTATTTGAATATATTTTAAAATGTTATTTATTCCTGTGATGGCAAAGCTGAATTTTCAACTCCAGTCTTTAGTGTCACGTGATCCTTCTGAAATCATTCTAATGCCAATTTAGTGCTCAAGAAACATTTCTTATTAAAAAAATAATTGTAATATATTTTTCATAATTCTTCGATGAATAGTATAACAGCATTTATATTTGTAACATTATAAATGTATTTAGGTTAATGAGTCCTTGATGAATAAAAGTATTAATTTCTTTCATAACAAATCTTACTGTTTTGAAAATTCATTTGTGGGCTTTTATTCCACAGGTTCGTTGCTGTTTATAGGTCGGGTTCTGAATCCAGCTGAGATGTCTTGAGAAGATCCATGCAATCACAACTACTTCAAATTATGAACACACACTCACACTTGGCAAAATCATAAAAAAAATTATATTAACATGACTCCACACACCCCTCCTCCTTCATGGTTGGGTGGTGAGAGGAATATTTGAGGACCATTAGGAGGGTCCACTGACACTTCAGGAAGAGGGATGAGACTTTTGTACATATTTGTAAATAAAATTTTATTACATCAGGGTTTTTTGCACTTCACAGCGTCTACTGTCATTTTTCCCCCTCTGCCCTCAATACATTTCCTAATTTCTGATGGAAATGTTTGGTTACCATTACTAATTTCATAATTGCAGGGTTTTTTTCTTTTTTTTTTCACACATACTGAAAAATGTAAAAAGGCTATTGGATCACAATGTGGCATTTAAGATGCAAAAATATAACATAAAAATAACTAAATCCTAATAGGATTGCAAATTCACATGTGAGTTAAATTTCAGGAATAAAGCTCTGACCATCAAGATAACAGTCCATGTTTAACTTTCCCCACCAGCGTTTTTGAAAAAAGTTGCCAGCCACCGCCAGCATTTTTGATCATTTTTTACAAGTTTCATGGCCACCATTAGCCTGACTTCGTCATACTCATATTCTAGTCAGAAAGAATGTGAGTCTGATACATAGACTGTAAACTGATACTGCTCCATATAGGCCGGGAGCCAGGTCCACTTCTCAGGATGTTTTTTGCTACCTTATTTTCACTATTATTTCCTATTATGTTATACCTTGGGCCATCACAAGTTGATAATGACCACCCCCAACTCGGCCCGTTTGGTCTCAGGGGCCAAAAAACACCCTTTTTGGGGAAATATTTTGGCGGAATGATGTAATTGTGAATATTAAGGTACTGCAGCTACATAAATGGTCATATAACCCCCAAATTTTGCATGGTGTATCCTGACACATAGGGTAAACTAGCAGAAAAAGATTCTGGGGATTGCTGCTTTTTTGCTGTCAAATATCACCCTCAACATACCCCAAAAGACAAAAAAAATGTCTGTCCGCCTGACAAATTGTCATCACAAGTGACCATTTTCAAGCATTTTATTATACATATCACTGCCCCAAATGTACATGAAAAACTTCCCAAGTTTATAAGCTTCAATTTAAGTCCAAGATGACCTTTCTATCTAGAGGATTGCAGCTGGTATAACCAAAGTTCTCCACTGTACCTCCAATCGGAGAAAATGGAACTTTCAAGCATTATCATTCCATAGGGAATTAAAGGTACAATATGCAGGATTTTATAGTGAAAAAAAGGTAGCAAAAAACATCCTGAGGAGTGGACCTGGCTCCCGGCCTAATAGGGCTTTGATTATGAGGCGTCTCTTCTCTTAACCTACAGTCTATGCTCTGAACCGAACCAGAAAAAAAAAAAACTCTGCACTCAATTGGATAGACCTACAACCAATCAGAGCAACGCAGTGTGTTAGCAACATAAGTGTTTTTTTTTTTATGAGCTACGCAAGTTGTCAACAGAACTCACCTGCACGCACGCTGGAAGAAGTAGTAAAATAATGAGTGTTGCTTCTTTTACTTGGTTCTCCATGAATGCGACCAAAGGAGAAACCACAACGACCACAGGGTTTTCATTGCGTCCCATCTTCTTAGCGACCAGCTGATAAATTAAACTTTTGCCGAATCCCGTAGGAAGGACGGCAAACACATCTTTCCGATCGACAAATGCCTTGATTGCAGTTCTCTGTTCGTCTTTTAAAATGAATGCGCTGTCGATTTCTTTTACTACAGACGCAATAGCGGAATCTATACATCTCAATTCTCCAGCTGCAGTCATCTTTCAGGAAAACCAGTTCAACCCAAGCGCTCTGATAACGTGATGATTACGTAACTGCAGATCATCTGTCCATCGTCGTATAAAGCCCGTCCTGGCAATTTGATTGGCCCGACTAATTCTGAACCGAATAATTACTCCTCAGTGGATCGAGTCCAGACCGAACTTCCCGACCAAAAAATGTTGTGGGCGGGGTTCGGGCTGGCATCCAGGCTATGTCTGGATGGCACAATGATCAAAAGATTATAGATGGAGTAAATCGAGTCCCTCGACACCCCCTAAAGCTGTAGCCTACAGTTAAAATTTCGTCCTGGGTCAAAATTTCCTTCAATAACATTCGGCAGTTTTGATTTATATGCTGTTTAATGTTGATGACAGCATAATGTTGATGACAGCAAGAAATGCGGCCGCCATCTTTAAACCGGTCAAACTCCTATTATTGCGTTGCATAGCAGCAGTTAAAGTCCCTGTAAAGGCAATTTCAAAAAAAAATTCTAAACACATTATAAATGTTAGAAATGAATTGATTAAACATATTACAAAGACTGTGAACTGTGAAGTACTGAATTGTGGAGTTAGACCGTTAAACAGTTTTTCACCATTGCTATTTTCCGGATTTTCTGGGCGGGGCTAAAACGGGGTTCGATGACGCACTGGAGCCCTTGAGCTCCTGGACACGCCCCTACTTGATGACGCACTAAAGCCGCTGAGGCTGGCCGCTCCTAACAATATTATAGAGCACATTCACATCAGTTTGCCGCTCATTCGCGAGTTACTGTCAGTACTATTATTAGTAACACAGCCTACAGATTGCTAGCTAGCTATGCCTTTGTCACGGAAATGCGTAACGTTACTACCTGGATGCGATCACCGGATCAGTACAAAACAGATCGGTGTCCTTATTTACATTTCCGAAAAACGATTACATCAAGAAGAAGTGGATTAATTTTGTGAAGAGCCACCTTGATGGAGAGCTGAGGATCACCGCCAAAACCCGCCTCTGTAAGTGATCATTTTACACAGGATAGTTTTATAAACTTTCATCAGAGACAACTGGGATTCACTGATAATCCGCTGTTACTGGTGAATGGGGCCGAACCGACTATCTCCCGCCTCGGCCTTCATCCTCCAGTCGCGCCGACAACTGGTGCCATCATCGGCAGTGCGTGCCCACCGTGCGAGCATCCATTTCGGCTGCAGAGTTGAGTGTGGCGACGGCAGCTTTCCCGCGAGTGGGCGTGGCTTCAGCACAGCCAGCGGACACGCCCCCAGCGTTTGAGAGCAGAGAATACTGCTCATTTTTTCAAGATTTTGATAGCTTATTTTATGTACTTGCTGGCTTTTTTGATAGCTTATTTTATGTACTTGCTGGCTTTTTTATCATTCAAATTTGGCTGGGTGACTAATAACACATTTTTCTGTGGTGTGACAAACTCAGAACACATACTTAATTTTGACTTTACAGGGACTTTAAAGGGGTCATATAATGCCATTTTTGTACAAGCTAATATGATTCTTTAGGGTCTAAATTAAAAGTTTGTAATATACTTTAATAAAAAATTCTCATTACTATTGTAAGAAAACTTATTTTACCTGGTCAAAAACAGCTCTGTTTTCAGCACGCCGTTTCAGTGCATATGACTTTAAATGATAATGAGCTTTGCTCACCCCGCCTCTCTGTTCTGCGCATACACCGTTTGTAACACAATAACACAATAACCACGCGTTGTTCATTATAAACGTGGGATTATGAATTATATTGAGAACGTTGTACATAGAAAACGAATCGGTTACCTAACGTAACCTCGGTTCTCTCTAGATGAGGGAACGAGTATTGCGTAAGCTAGCTTACGCTGCGGGAAAGATTAATCTTTTCTGAGAAATTGAAGCCAAAAATTATCCTATAATTTTGTATCCATTGTCAACGCAGTTCAGCTGCAGCAGAGCATGAGCAGGCTAGCTAGCAGCTCATTGGCTCGCTCACAGGGAACTGCTTAAGCCTATGAGGAGACACGAATGAACTCTCGGCCAATGAGAGTCTGACCTGCTCTCATTGCGTCAGAGCCCGCCGAAACGGGCGTGGCCAGAGAGTATAAATTCGCCTCTCAGGCTGTAAACTCTGGTTTTCATAGAATGAAGCGAGAACGCTAGTAGCACAAGCACGGCCAGGAACGCAATACTCGTTCCCTCATCTAGAGAGAACCGAGGTTACGTTAGGTAACCGATTCGTTCTCTTACGAGAGGTTCTCTCGTATTGCGTAAGCTAGCTTACGCTGCGGGAACACCTGGTCAACGCCGTGCGTGCTAAGCATCCACTATGAGTCCCAGGGGGGACCCCGGGGAACCCTTATGAGTGGGAATAAAATATATACATGTGACAAAGGCCAGCGGAGCGGGCCGGGGATTTGTGAAGTACATAAGCACATGATAAGGAGGGACAGAACGAGACCGGTCTGCGTGAATAACTCCCTATAGTGCAGCTCAACCAGAAGAGCTGTAACATACTAGACTGCTAGTAGTTTAGCCTGCAAGGCGGGAACTTTCAGATTGTAAAATCTGATAAAGGTGGAGGGGGAAGCCCATCCCGCTGCCACACAAATATCATGAATGGAAATTCCGCTGGACCAAGCCCACGATGAGGCCATGCCTCTAGTGGAATGGGCCCTGATGCCCAGAGGGCATGGCAGGTCTTTTGACGCGTATGCGGCTGCAATGGCATCAACTATCCATCTGGACAGAGACTGTTTCGAGGCGGCCAACCCCTTGGTGCGCCCACCGAACGAAACAAAAAGCTGCTCAGCTCGTCTGACCGGAGCAGTGCGAGTAAAGTATAATCTCAGGGCCCTGACTGGACACAGGAGATTAGAGTCAGATTCGCTATCGGATGCAGGCAGAGCCGATAGGGAAATAACTTGTGCCCTGAATGGGGTACCAATCGCTTTTGGGACATAACCATGTCTAGGTTTGAGAACGACTAAGGAGTCATTGGGCCCAAACTCCAGACAGGAAGCGCTACTGGACAGCGCGTGAAGGTCTCCCACACGCTTCACTGACGCGAGCGCGAGCAGGAAGATAGTCTTGAGCGAAAGGTATTTGAGCTCCACGGTGTTTAACGGTTCGAATGGGGGGGCTTTCATAGCTTCGAGAACTATGGAAAGGTCCCAAATCGGCACCGACGGGGGGCGTGAGGGGTTCATCCTTCTAGCTCCCCTGAGGAAGCGGATGACTAAGCCATCTTTGCCCAGTGACTGGCCGCGCCGGGGTTCAGCGAACGCTGCGACGGCTGCCACATACACCTTGAGAGTGGAAGGGGACCTGCCCTTATCCAGCATCTCTTGGAGAAAAACTAGCAAGGAAGGAACCTCGCATGACCGTGGGTCCAAATTTCTGTCGGTGCACCACTTAGAGAACA